ACCATATTTTTTCATAATTCGGAATCGGATAATTATTGTCATTTATTCTGACCATTTCCAATCGTTTCTGGCCCTCAAATGAACAGTCGCGGAAGATGGGCAGAACATGGGCGGATGGTCCGCCCATGATGAATTGCCAGGGTATAAATATATTATGACTTCAATAGTTCATACGGATCTATTATCAATGACAATTATTTTTGTTTTCATGTCAAAAATGACTATTTATTGTATTCCAAGGGCTTGAAGAGACTCTGGAAGGATCCTGACACTCATCAACGAATGTCCCACATTTTCAGCTCGATTTTTTTTTCTGAAGAGTACTGACTCAATGATCTCTTCCCCTTTGATTTTCATTGCTTGATCAACTGGGAATTGAATTTTCATGTAACTTTTTTTCCTTCATTATAGCCAAGACTGTCCCAGTGATAATTAGTATAATTCGATCTGTTCATCCAAGTAATTCCAGTTGGAATTTAACTCTTTCACTTGGTGAAAAAAAAAGATCTAGCTCATTGTATTCGTTGACAGTTATTTTGACTGATTGAAAAAGAATCCTATAATATGATCAGTTTAAAGGACTTTCCTATATTTTGATTATCATTATAACGAAATAGGATAACCATAACGTAATGACGATATTTTATTGCATAAAACCGAAGAAGAAAACAAATAATAAGTTGTCGTATACCCCAATATTTCTACCATTAAGAACACATTTTCTTCTTTTCAAACTTAATCCCTTATAAAGTACCCCAATATTCATTAAACCAACCCTCAATAAAATATCCCAATTTTAAATCCTTATTTCCTCCAAACATTGCCATAAACGTACCCCACTGAATGAATTTCATTTAGAATATTTTCACCCTCAACAAATCCTTACAAAAAACCCCGAACAGTCCCAATCGTCCTAATCCTCAAGGTCCTAGTCCTAATTGCTGTGCATATAATAAAACAATTTACATTCCTCGGATCCTACCAGACCCTCGGACCCAAACGACCCGCCTGAACAATATCCACCCTCTACCCCGACTCTAACTAGATAACCACGTGACCATCCCTCAATATCCCCGCAATATATACATAACCAACTTACTTAAATTTTGTCACTTATAATTTAAACTTAGGCACGACTAGATGTCCTAAAGTATTGTACTCCAGAATAGTAGTGAAATAAAGTTCTTATTTTAATTTGTTGAACCTTAAGAAACGACCAAGTTTATTTGGGTATCCAACAAAGTATTATAACTCAGTTATGGTTAAGATGGTATTTTCATATTCTCCTACTTTTCATTTTATTTTCAAATTTCTAGGGAATTGTTGGTCAGATTGATTTGAAAAAATATACTGTTTTTGGTTTTTATCAAGAATCGGTCACAATGTTTCACAGTCGAGGGATTATTTTTTTACTTTGTTATTCATCGTACGTAGAATTTCGAAAAGGTTATCTGAGAAATTAGAACATTTTTTGCATCACTGAATAATGACAAAACCTAAAAATTTTATATTTTTTACATTAATTTGATCACCAGTTTCCCAGAAAATATGAGAGTGGGAAGATATGAAATAACTCTTTAAATAATATTATAGTCAAGTTAAATTTAACGTTTAATAATGAGAAATGTGATTTAGGGAATAGAATCTCAGACAGTATTTGACTTTTACTAAGAAAACAGCGGCATTTATTATTACTTGAAAACCTGGCTATATATTATATTTCTTACAGATTTATAATATACATACATATAATTAGATTATAGAAGAGTCATATTGCTTAATGCGGATTGATAGGTTTGGCATTTACTGCCATTATAATTTAAACGTATTAAGTCCCTATTACTATCAGTTTGTTGATTAATGTGAAGTTTCGAAGGATTAACAGCGATATGATGGCATGGAGATGAAAAATGTCATGAAGAGCATTTATTCTGCATGTTAAAAAATAAAAATGTGAAAATATTGCAAATTACCGACTCAGAATTTTTATGTTCAGAAAGAATACAAAAGTATTTGTGTGTACGAATAAAAAAAATAATTCTTTTTTGGTTCGATTTGATGGTAAAAAACTAACAAACTTCAAAGATATATTGTACTCTTTCTGTTCTACATAATAAATCATTCAGACAGCGATTTTATTGTATTATATCTATGCATAATTTGTCTCAACAAATACGATTTCGTATTTTTAATGCGACCATAATCGCTCGCTGACATGACACCAGATGGAAATTCTATTTGTTTCCATGTAATCTCATTTCCGGTTTCAATCACTGTTGGAATAGGGCTACATTAGTATTTTGGGTCAGTGGAGCCCTCATCGGACAAAAAGCATAACTAGTTGTTGCTAAGGAGAACGACCATGAAAGCTTAGTTTTAAGTTACAACTTGGTAGGAGAACAAGCACGGTTGTAATGCAGGACATTATTAAACTATAATTAATCATTACTAAAGAACTTTCTTTTATTCTAACAAGCACCATATCGTAAGAGCTCAAAACTCGCCATAACCTCGAAAAAACAGCCTGTCACTTCGATCCGTACGACTTGACGGTGTAAATCCTCATTGTTTACGAACTTAAAAGTGCGTAAAAAAATGTGCGTTTAAAAAACTCACTTGCTGAGTTTTTGTCGTGAGAAAATTGAAGGCTGGATGAATATTATAAAACTTCTTTTCATTCACCAAGTGAAATTGTGACTGGCCGAAGAAATCTTCAAAAAAACTCACTGGAGGTAGGTTTTGCATTTATGAGTGAGAAAAAAATGGGTAATTGCATCATTTGTACATGCGTAGGGGAGATTGGGGGAAAATGAAACTCATTTCATTCTATCTCTCGCACTGCCAAGTAAGGCGCTTCCTCAGAAAAATCAAAGGAAAGAGAAAGTAATCATTTACACAGACATGAATCATTTACAATGTCATCATTTAGAGGTTCGATGCGTAGTATAGTGTAAAAATGAATCCCACAAGTCCGAAAACAATGAACAGTATAATTTGTAATGAATAAATGCGTGAAAAACATCGGAACTACAGAGCCTTATGCAAGTCGGTTTTCAAGTGAAATTTTTTGTCTCTGGAACGTTCATAGATTCTTTTTATTATTCTGACCAAATTGAACAACCCTGGCGAACCCTGGCAAATGGAGTTCCATGGATGCTTAAATTCGATGCGTATATGGATAGGGAATATGGGTAAATAAGGGTAAAAATGCCCGAAATGAGTATCCAAAAAGATTAAAAAATGAAAATGATTGATTGAGTGCAATTAAATCCCTTTAATTGGTTAATTGTAGAAGTAAAGAAAAAATTATTATGAAACTCTTGGTCGACCCTGCCAAAATGAGGAGATTTGAGGGGGTCACAGAGATCGTTTAAGGTTGACACAACTTATCATCGAATATATTTATTCAGTCGACAGTAATATTTAGGGCTTTTATAATAAAAATACTGAAAGACTACTGCTGTAGCGTCTTAAAAGAAACGTGGTGACAGGCTCCGTCGGTAAAGATGAGATCTGGACGAGGCTGAGCCGCCACAACCCCCCCCCCCCCCCCCTCCGTGACCTGAGTGGGCAGAGAAGGGAACGAAACGTTTTTGAGTACCTTGGCATAAGTCCTTAGAGGTTGATCCATAGAGGTGAAGCGATGCTCCTCAGGTACAGTGATTAGTGGACTAGGTTCAGGCATCAGCTCAGGTGGCTGATCCGTGTCTGTTTTATCAATAAATGCAGGCTTGAGTCTGTCCACAGAAATGATGACGAAAACTCTGTCGTCAACTCTGTTGATGATTTCGTGTGGTCCGGTGTAAGGTGGTTTGAGAGGTTTTTGAACCTCATCGACACGGACGAAGACATGGCTGCATTGATAGAGGTCTTTTAGAATGAAAGCCCGAGCTTTTGTATGATGAGATGTTGGAGATGGTCTCATTCGTCTCATATGGTCTCGAAATTTCTCTAAAAAGAAATTCGGGTCTGTGGGTAAATTTTCAGAAATGAAAAACTCACCGGGAATTCGTAGTTCTGTCCCGTATAGCAGCTACGCTGGAGAGGCTTTCAGGTCCTTTTTGTCGGCAACTCGTAATCCCAGCATGACAGTTGGTAGCAGGTCTGCCCAGGGTGTTGGTGCGTTGCACATCAGTGCGGCTTTTACTGTGCGGTGCCAGCGCTCTACCAACCCGTTAGATTGAGGTCGATAAGGTGTTGTGTGGATTTTTTTAGCTCCTACCAACCTGGCTAATGCTGAGAACAACCTGGACTCGAATTGCGAGGCTTGTTCAGTCGTGATGTGAAGTAGAGTTCCAAATTGTGCGACCCACTGAGTATACAATGCAGTGGCTGTTGTGTCTGCTTCAATGTTGTTTAGAAGAACGGCTACAGGCCATCTCGTGAATCTGTCAATCATGGTGAGGCAGTAGCGAAGGCCTTTCACAAGTGGTAACTCGATCATATCCAGGTGGACGTGTTCGAAACGATTGTCATGGACGTTGACGTGTGCTGGCTCCATGCGATTGTGTCGTTGTATTTTACACTTTTGGCAAGGAATACATTCACGGCACTAGCGTGCCACGTCACGCTTGATGCCAGGCTAGATGAATTTTTCCTTCAACTGGCGAACAGTCACTCAAGTGCTCGGGTGTGGGAGGGAGTGTACCACTTCATAAGCTCGTCTCCTGAGGCTGGTTGGAATGCATGGACGAACCCCACCAGTGGATGTGTCACAGTAGACTGGAGGGTATTCGATGATAAGACGTTGGAGTTTGCATGAGGAATCCTCGGAGCTGATCAGGTTCTGAAGCTCTTCGTCAGATTCTTGAGCAAGCTGGATGGCTTCTGCGCTCAGGGCATTTCAATGGCATTGATGCGTGAGAGTGCGTCGGCAACAACGTTGTCGGCCCCCTTGACGTAGACGATCTCTGTTGTAAACTGGGAGACGAAATCCAACTGGTTCAGCTGCTTTGGAGATGCTTTCTCAGGGCGTTGGGAGAAAACACAGACCATAGGACGATGATCAGTCTTTACTATGAAGGGACGACCTTCGAGCATGTGTCGGAGGTACTTGATTGCGGCGAAAATTCCAAGAAGCTCTCGATCGTATGTGCTGTATCGCGACTCTGTTGAACTGAGTTTGCGAGAGAAAAAACCAAGAGGCTTCCAAACACCATCTTCAAACTGCTCTAGGGTTGCTCTAATAGCAGAATCTGATGCGTCAGCCGAGAGTGCAAGTGGTGCCGTTGGAGATAGGAAGCTGAGTTGAGCTGCTGTGACGATCTCCTTACACTGAGTGAAAGCGGCTTCTGCCTCAGGGGTCCAAGGAATTGTTCGTTTGTCGTTTTTCTTGGAGTCTTTGGTGAAGTCGTTGAGTATAGCTTGGGCATGTGCAGCGTGTGGAAGGCACCGTCAGTAGAGTTGAGCATACCGAGGATCCTGCGAAGCTCAGTGACTGTCTCTGGCTTCGGAAAATCAACTATGGCTTGTACTTTAGTTTCAGGTGGAGTAAAACCTTGGCGGTTGACTCTGTAAGCCAAATAAATTACTTCCTCCTTACCAAATTGGCACTTACAGGAGTAGTTGCTGAGGTGATTGTCTTGTAGCATTTTCAAAATGCTCTCTAGATGCTGCAGGTGCTCTTCAGGCGAGCTAGAGCAGGGATGGGCAACCTTCAGGTAGCTCGGAGCAGAGTCATAAACTCGAGTTAGAAATCCAATGAAGTTTATAACCATGCCAATTATAAGGGTCCTAGTACGATCATAGTAGGGACAGTAGTGGGGGCCTCACAGTCACCGTATTGGGGAGCGTCCCATGACGTCTCTGCCAAATGGTAAAATGGGGGAAATGGCCGCCGTGATTAATATAAAGAGAAAGTTAAATATCCACACATGGACAAAAACTTTTCTGAATATGAAGATAACTATTGGTCATTGAAATAAATATGAAAGTACTCTTCAAATTCAACTTTCCGAATAAATGACATCTTTCAGCTTGCTTTTTAAATTTTTGGTCCAATATCGACCTTACCGAAAAATATGTCTAGGAAAAAATCCCAAACATTGCAGTTTTGACTGGCTGATGTTGATTCTGAATATAAAAAAGGAATATTTTTTAAAAATAATATTTTTAAAAAATTTTCTTCAAAGAACCTTGTGGAATTTATTCCTTGCCTTTGAAATTACACAGTCGGTCTTTACATTTCATTTGTAACGTCTGCTTTCAGAATTAATAAAAATGTCATCGTAAAGAAAATTCTACATTTTCCATTTTTGACTTATTTCCCCGCTTTTCCTTTTCTTCCGCGATATTTCTCCTCTACTCCTGTTCTTACGTGTTACCCCCACTTTGGTTGATTTCAGCCGAGGAGAAGGCCCTTTACGACTTGGGTCATAAAGGCCCATCACCCGACACAATAAGCTTTCGTCTACCCTTTGTTATGTACTAATAGAGGTCGGGAGCACGACTTGCTCTCAGAGCAGAGGTTGCCCATCCCTGAGCTAGAGAACACAATGAGGTCATCGATGTAGCAGGCTGCGAAATCAACGTCTCTCAGGAGGTTGTCCATATGACGCTGGAAGGTCTGCGCTGCGTTTCGCAGGCCTGGAGGCATGCCGAGGAACTCGAACAGGCCAAAAGGTGTTGTGATGGCCGTTTTGGCGATGTCTTCTTGAGCCACAGGGATTTGATGATAAGCACGCATCCGGTCAAGTGTTGTGAAGATCTCACGACCGTGGCAACGCTGCAGGACATCCTCGATGGTGGACAGAGGGTAACGATCAGGGTCTGTGCGTTGGTTTAGGCCACGATAGTCTCCTGTTGAGCGCAAGCCACCTAGTCTCTTTGGCACCATGTGAATAGGGCTTGCCCACTGACTGCTCGAAGGTCTAATTACCCCATGAAGTAACAAAGACTGGACGTCGTCTCGAGCTGCTTGGAGCTTGTTACCAGCAAGTTTTCTAGGTCTTTCAGCGACTGGTGGACCACTGGTAACTATGTGGTGAGCTACTGGGCTGTTGAGTTGAGTTCTAGGTGCTGCAGGAGGCTTCGTGACCTCCACAAACTTTGAGAGAAGTTGGCGAATAGTTGGAGAGTCAGCTGAGTTGTCGTTGGGGACTGTGGAGACACTGTAGACGCTGGCTTCACGGAGCTCTCCAGTTATTGAGAGGTTAGTTGCTGGGTCGATGAGGCGTTTTCCTCGACAATCAACGAGCAGGCCAGAATGTGTGAGAAGATCTGCACCAATGATGGGTGTTTTAACGACGGCGATGGTGAAATTCCATGTGTAGTCACGACGAAGTCCAAGATGTAGAGTAATTAGCTGCTGTCCATAGGTATTAATAACTGTGTTGTTAGCAGCGAATAATTTAAGGTCTGACGGTTGAGTAGAGCTACGGCTCCAATAACGAGGAACAATAAAGATGACCGATCCTGAGTCGACGAGAAATCTTTGATTTTTAGTTTTATTAGCGTCGAAAAGACGAAACTCTTTGGTGACGGCGTTGTTGTTGTAGTCTGCGCTGCCGCTGGTAGCCTGAACAGACGGTAGTGACGCTAGTTTTCCAACTGCTGCTGGGTGTTGATGGTGGTGAACGAGCAAGGGAGTTCGCATCGATGAGCTTTGTTCCCCAATCGCTCGTGATAGAAACAGGGACCGGTCGGGCTCTGTACTATTGGTGTGGTAGGGCGAGAAAATGAGCGAGAGCGTGACCTACCATTGCGCTTGCCCAACTTGGAAGACAACTGGTGTAGACTGTGGAACAAGGTCTCTATCAACTTTTCCAGTGCACTCAACCTTTGCTCAAAGACACTGGGTAGTGGTGCGTTATTATTATTGTCATAACCAGCTGCTATAACTTGGGAGTTGGGTGGATTGAGTTGGACGGCTGGTGCTGGGGCCTGATTGTGTGTTGCCATAACGTGGGTACCAGTTTGGTTCTCCATGGCACTGTCAGCAGCCTCAGCCAGTTGGTCAAGTGTACTGTTTCTCTGGACAACCTTGAGGATTTTGCAAACAATATCAGGCAGCAGGGCTAGCCACCTGCTGCGAAAAAGCTCCTCAGAGGCCTTCTCACCAGCCAGGTCCCTCATTCTCCTCAACAATTGACTGGGTTTTTGGTCACCGAGCTCAAGCTCTGTGAATAGTTTGTGCAAGCGACGATCAACTGAGTCGGTGAAACGTTTAATCAGGTTTGTCTTTAGGAAAATGTGCTTATCTGTGGCTGGAGGTGCTTTGATGATGTCAGACACCTCTTTCAAGCACTCTGGCTGCAGGGCTGCAACTACTGAATTATACATGGAGTTGTCACTTCTCATGTTTCGGCTGCTGAACTGTGATTCAATAAACCACAGCTCTGGATCGCTCTCCCAAAACTCGGGTAGTTTAAGAGGTGCGAGGGCCATGACCTGACCGTCGTTTCCGGCCACAGCGTTGAGATATGGTATGTCATGTTCAAATCGCTGAAACCATTGCTGGTGCTGTTTCATCAGTTGCTGCACTGTTTGTGGTTGTTGCACTGGTAATGGCTGCTGCTGTTGTTGCTGGAAGGCGAGATGTACCCAAATGTGCAATGCACTTTTACGACCCTCACTAAACCTCTTTTGAGATGGCTGACATGGTAAAAAAAAAAGTTTTTACAGGGGTGTGTAAATCGACTCAGGGGATGATTCTGAGTCGATCAGTACCTGTAAATTTCGACATTGTTTTCCACCCTCACTAACCCTCCTTCAAGATGAACGATGGGGTAAAAAAAAAGTCTTTACATGGGTGGGTAAATCGACTCAGGGGGTGAATCTGAGTCGATTTGTCCCTATAAATTTCAACGTTTTTACTAATATATTTGCAAGATGCCCGACGGGGTACGTCTATACAGCGGTAAAAAAAAAGTCTCCACAGGGGTGGGTGAATCGACTCAGGGGATGATTCGGAGTCGATATATACCTCTAAATTTTGACCTTTCTTTTCACCCTCGCAAATACATTTTCAAGATGGCCGACGGGGTAAAAAAAGGGTCTACAGGTGCATGTAGATTGATTCACGGAATGATCAGACGGAGTTGCGGAGTCTAATCAGTGAATTGGAAAAAAATAAAAATAGAAGGGTGAACTGAGTGCATTGGAAATAAATTAGGGGTTGAGAGTGGGGGAAGTGTGCCAGGGTGTAAAGGAGGTTCATGGTGGGATAAATTCATTTCGCAAAAATAATTGTTGAGGGTGAAATGAGTCATGGGGAAAATGAGGGTTGCTGATGGGGTGAGTGCATGGGAAAAATGAGCGTTGAGCCTGGGATGAGTGTATGGAGAAAAAATGACAGGTTTTGGCTGGATGAGTGTATCAGGCTGAGATGGAGGTTGATGGTGGAATCAGTCATGGAAACAATGAGGGTTGATTGTGGAATGAGTAGATGGGAAAAAATGGGGGCTTAGCAGTGGGATGAGTTTGTCGGGCAGAAATGGGGATTTTTCCCATGACTCATCGCACTATCAATCCCCATTTCACCCTGCAACACTCATCCCACCC